TTGAGCTCCAAAGGGAAATACATGGTAGCCGTGCAGATCTTCTCCATCCTGGCCTCCAGCCTGGGTTTACTAGTCTGCATCTTTATCCCCAAATGTTATATTATTATTCTGAGACCTGCCATGAACACCAAAGAAAATCTGATGATAAAAAATCATTAAGTCTCCTGATGTTGGTCTTTATTTTTGTACAGTTTACATTCAGTATAAAATCACATACTTTGAAGTCATGTTTTATGTGTTGTAGCTTATCTTTCTTCATTCCATGTGAATTTTGTATTATAATAATTGAGTAGTACCGTTGCTAAAACAACTCAAATTATTTGAAATAACTATATCCTTCAATTGCCACAATCTGAATTCATGTTAAATCATAAGTATCATCAATGACATTAATAGAATTTCTGAAACCAGGCCAGAGATGTTACCAGAGATGTTCTGACATTGTTTTAGATTAAATTAAAGACTATCGCTAATGATGATGTTTGTTTTTGTTGCTATATAAGTTGGTGTTTTATTTTATTTTGGGGGATGATATTCTGACTTTAAAAAATAGTTAATTTCAAATATATATTTGATTGGTCTCTTCTGGCTGGATAATGTAAGATAATAGACACACACACACACACACACACACAGAGAGAGAGAGAGAGAGAGAGAGAGAGAGAGAGAGAGAGGGAGGGAGGGAGGGAGGGAGGGAGAGGGAGGGAGAGGGAGAGAGAGAGAGAACTCAGAGACAGATAACATTATATATATACTTTTCTTCTCATGATTTTCTTATATATATATATTTTCATACAAGTGCTCAATAGACAACGTGATGACTGAGTCCATTAGTAATTCTGTGGTACATATAAGCTTCTTCCAGCTAAGTCCACTATTATACCTGCCAGTACATCCTCTCTTCTTCTGGCAATAACCATTTTTCCACATTAAGCAAACACAGTTCTTATTATTGTTAGTAAGCATACAATTGTATATCAACATTTGTTACACTTTTCTAATAATATCAGTTTAAAATATCTTTTCTAGCCAAAGCATATCTCAATTTCCACTTATTTAAGCCATATCCTATTTTTGCTTTTTTTCATTTTAATTTCCCATCCATGTTCAAAGTAGTGGGTTGGAGCCTTAGAGAAAATGTATGGGAAACGTTGAGAAAATATTTTAGATGTTATTGCAGTTATCAGGTAATCTCCTGGCTTGTAGTGATTAAACTTCTTAAATTCTTCTATTGTCACCTTCAATGGACATTTCATCTGCATTGTGGCACAGGGAAATTGGGACAGAAACAGAAAGAAATGCGTTTTCAGCAATAGCATTTGAAGATATTGAGGGAGATGCTTCCTAAAGTTCTTTCTCTGGCACAAAGTTGAAGTTCAGCGATCCCAAAATAGCTCCTCTGCAGTGAAGACTTTCCAGTTTTCCCCAGTTATGGAAGAGAAACCTGCAATTTCAGACTAGCATAATCTCTGCCTGTCTACTTCTTCTCTCACTAGCCAGTGGAGAAATTTTAATTTCTTCTTATTGTGTCTTGTGTGAACGAAACCATCTTCTTCAATGAAGGTCAGATATTCCAGAATGTTTACCTCTAGGAAATGATATATCCTAACATCAATATAGTTTTGAATGATTTTTTTCTTGAATATTGCACTCTTTTGGCCTATATAGAGAATAAGTTCATATGGATTGATTATCAACTGTCATATGGCATCAACATCTACTGATATCATAGCTGGACCATCTTCAGGTTGATCTGTCCATAACCTGGACCTTCATGTATCTCAGTGACACACACTTGACACTAATTGAGTCCAGCCACCTTGATGCTGGTCATGTTCTTCTTCTCTTTTCTACTACCTTTTCCCAGATCTGTCTAATACAGTACATCTTTACAACGCTATCTTGAGTAAGAGGAACTTGCCAGAGTAACTCAAGCCCTTTTCACCGTTGCCTGGACTACTTCAATGTGTTGTACATGGGTGTTTCTTCAAAGACCGTTCAATAGTTTCAATTGGACTAGAATGCAATTACTCAGCTGTTGATGCATCAAAGGGATTCTGCACTGATTTCCTATTAGCTTTGGTCCTTACTAGCTTCTAAATGCAGTTCAAAGTTTTGACCTTTAAAATCAAACTCCCAGAATTGTCCACAGATCTCAAAATTTCAAAGATTCAGGAACATTGGATTTTTTGGGGGAGGACAGTGGTGGGATTCAGCCAGTTTGCATCATTTCGGCAGAACCGGTTGCTAATTTTTTGTTCCCCAGGCTCAGAATAGACTTCCGGAAGCGGCATCCACACAAAGAACTGGTTTTTCCCATATTTGAATCCCACCACTGGAAACATATGTAATTCATTTACTTATACTCCATCAAATGGGTTTTGGAGGATGCAATGGATAAAGGTCTCAGGTGCATATTTAGCTGAAGAACTCAAATCTGCCAATCGTATAGCATTGACCATGGTCTCAGCTACTCATATTTTGTTTACTCCTTCAACTTCAGCCTTTTTTGCTATTGCACTCCTACAGCACCATCTCTTGGCCCCCTACTAGATAACTTATGACAGCAAAGGTCATCACATTATGAACAAGTCAGTAACAGGCCATTTTTCAGATTAATGCACCAGGGAATTTTGACTAGATCTTATTTGTAATCATGAAGACTGATAGTCTTCGACATTTTGAAAGACACAAGACATTTAACAGGGGCCTCCAATTGGTTGCTCAATATATCATGATCTGGAGTTAACCATTCTGGAGTATCTGACTTTCATTGAGGAAAATAATTTCATCCACACCAGACAGAATAAGAAGGAATTATAATGGCCTGCTGACTAGTTCAAGAGCATTGAACTGTTTTTCCACATTTTAATCTTTAGAATCCAAAGAATAAGTTTATAGACTAAAAATAATCAAACTTCCCTGAATTGTTGCTTTCTTGACTCTCAGATTAGGATTATTCTCCTGAGCCAAACAAAATTATTTTCTCCAACTGCACACTTTTGTGGCAATGCTCGTTCCCAATTCCCCTTCTAATTATTAAAATCATGATTATTTATTCTCCTTTGAACAAGGTTTATGGGATTTCCACCACCCCAATAAGTTACCAATCAATGTGACAACAAATGGGATATACAGCACCTGAAAATTTGATTTCTAATAGCCTCCTTCTATGATGAGAGCAGAGGTTGGAATAAAATCAAGCAAATACTGTAGCAGTCTGAATTTGCAGATAACTCTTCCAAATCTGGGGCCAAAGTGGAACTTCTTCACTGTAGTCTTCTGTGAACTCTGAGATTTAACTCTGTGCTGAATAAAGAACTATAGGAAGGATCTTCTGCAGTATATGTCAAATGTTGCTGTTGCTGCATAAACAGCTCTTTCTGCTTCAGCTTCTGTCTCAAATTCCCTGTGCCTATATGCTGATGAAATGTCCACTTAAGGTGATAATAGAAGAAAAGGAATGGTTCCATTACTACAAGCCAGGAGACTACTTAATTACTGGAATAATGTCTGGAATCGCATCTCGACTGTACCAATTTTCATTCTCCAAGCCTCCAACCCACCAACTGAAAAGGTAATTGTCAGCAGGTCCAGGATTCTGGTGATTGATTTTACCTGCTCCAATGTCTTTTCTAGCAATGATTTCCTTTCCCCTATTCCTCACCTTGAGAAAGGCAAGTCATTATTGCTTCTCCCAGTTTGCTTTGGAGGAAAGGCTCCTAGGGAACATGATGAATTTGTAAAACCTGAGTTTGCAAAGTTCCTTTTAAGTTCTTCCAGTAGTCTCAACCTCAACACTGGGCAATTTATTCATATTTATTTTATTTATTAATTAACAATAGTTAAGCAGTAACTCCCTATAAAGTGATTGAATACCTTAGAGCAGAGGGAAATCGCTTGTACTTTCTCCCTACCATTTCTTCCTTTTCCTTATATTTACTCTATAATTCCTACTACCCTCTCCACTCTTTCCACCATTTAACACTTTTGCTACTTTTGTGGTTACTCTATTCCTTTTGGTTTAAATAAAAGGCATGCCTTTTAAAAACCAAATTCAAGGAGGGGAGAGACTTATAAGTTAATATTTAGTCACAGAGGATCACATTAATTGTAGTTAACTGTAGAATATAGGGAAATAATTCTAAAGTCATGAATATTCTGCAGCAAACCTCTAGATCTAAAGAAGACTTATGAAGAGATATCCATCTTCAGATAGGTAATACCACTTGCTAATCTAGCACTTGAATCCAGCTCTTAGTCATCTCCAGGGAGGTATAATAGGAAGAAATCCTATAATATGATCACAACATATACATGTATACTTGGTAGCATCCCTCATTAGCATTCTGGAGGACTGGGAAGACACAGATCTTCCCCCAAGCATTGTGCTAGGATGGGGGTTGTGAGCTGTAAGCATATCTAGTCTGGTGCCTGGGGGTAAGGGCATGATTTTAATTATATTTTATGGATTGTTGTGAACTGATATATTATCTCTGGAAATAGTTAAGTAAATAAAATAAATGCTTTGATTTTGGGAAAGGTGATTCTAAACAGATTGAAACAGTTACAATAGTAAGAAACCTCCATGCTTTTCTTTTTGAGTAAAAGAAAGTACAAAGGTTTCTTACTATTGTGATTGTTTTCCTTACCTGGTTACTAAACTATAAGAATAATTTTCCTCATTCCCCCCCCCCCAAGTCATAATTTGGAGATAATTATAGGCAGAATCAGTTCTGGTAATTTGGTAGGATTCTTTTGACCCTGACATAAGAAGCTTACTATATCTCCCTGATATTTCTTTTGGCAAGAAGCTCCTAGTGGTGTCAATGGGACTGTTCTTCTAATGGAAATTTCAAAGATATCTATCACCTGCAAAGCCCAAGTAAATTGAATGCTTTAATTAAATAATGAGAGTCTGATTATCTTTTTGGCATTGCACTATATAGCTATAAAGCTACAGTAAATATGTCATGCTTTTATGAAAATCCACATTGAAGATGATGACCTTTGGAAATTTCTTATGTTGCAGTGAGAACACCTTCTACCACCTTCTGCCCTTCTTGTTGGCTGTTCATGAAATCAATCAGAATTCAAGGCTCTTACCCAACATCACCCTGGGCTACAACATCTATCAGAACTTTTTCAGTGCAAGATTGACATATGAGGCCATGATGGACGTGGTGTCCACAGGGCAGGAGAACATCCCAAACTACAGATGTGGAAGACAAAAGAACCTGCTGGCAGTCCTTGAAGAGATGGATTCTGAACTCTTTGATCATATTTCTAATGTCTTGAGCATCTACAAAATCCCACAGGTATAAAGCCAAATGAAATTATTTCCATGTTGTAAATTCTTCAGATATACAAATATATAAAAGGCAGCACTTGTATATATTTTTCCAAATAAATTGAGTCAGAGAATAAATATTAGAAGAGCTGAAAAGTGACCAATACAACAGAGCTGGTTTTGTATACAGAATCATAGAATAGAAAAGTCCAATTCCCTGCATGGGCCAAGAATGGTCAGACTACTACAGATCAATCAATAGTATAAAATCAATAGTATAAAATCCCCCCTAATAAATCAAAACCCTAGTTTCTTTCATCCTTACTCTGGTTTTTTGTCCTTTGCCAACTAACCATCCATGTCAGTACTTTTAATTCATCAAACAGTTCTCCCTCTATTATCATGTGTATTATTTGAGTTAAGAAATACCATTTAATTACAATTTTTTGGGAAGAACTAGCCCCATTATATTTTTTG